TTTTTTTTTTTTTTTTTTTGGCAAATATGCCCATATATTTCGGTACGAATCTTTTGTTTTTTCTTAGATAATCCAGGTTTTCTTGCCGCTCTGACTTGCCTCTTGGCTTACCATATTGTCTACTTTTACCCTGTCCCTTTATTCTTATGTGATTCGGGGTTTCTGTTCACATCATCGTCGAGCGGATGGATCGGTGTAGGGCTTACGAGATCGGGATTTTCTAGTTTTTTTTCTTCCTTTCCAAGTTTCTTGCAGGTTCAGCGGCGTTCTTTCCCCGCGTTTTCCCGCCCTTAGATGATCCAGATTTTCTTGCTTTACTGCTTGACACTTTGGCTTTTCCCATCCTTTTCTTTGGCTTCTCAATTCCTGATGCTTTTCCTCTGATATTTCGTCTTAGGGTCAGTCAAACTTTTATACGGACCGTACTTTCCTAGCATTTCCCCGAACTTAGATGATCCATACTTTCTTACTTCACTGGTTACCGTCTTGCTTATCTTAGATCGTTTCCTTTTACCCTCTGTCCCTTTATTCTGATGTGATCCGGGGTTTCTGTTCACATTATCGTCGAGCGAAGGCTTACGAGATGGGGATTTTCTAGTTTTTTTATTGTTTTCAAAGTCTTTCTAGTTTGGCGCGTCTTTTACTTTTCCTACATTTCCCCCTTTATGCGATTCAAGCTTTCCTTGCTTTTACTGGTACTATTCTCGCTATCATATATTGTTTTTTTTACCATCTGTCCTTATTCTGATGTGATCCGGGGTTTCTGTTCACATTACGTCGAGCGAAGATCAAAAGTGTAAGGCTCACGAGAATCGGGATTTTATAGTCTTTTTATTTCTTTCGAACTTTTCTAGTTAGAGGCGGGCATTTTAGCATTTTCACGACGTTTTGCGATCATTATTTTCTGGTTAAACTGGCTAACCTATTGCCTATCTTAGATTGTTTCCTTTTACCCTTTGTCCCTTTATTATGATCCGGGGTTTCTGTTCACATTATGTCGAGCGAAGGCTTACGAGATGGGATTTTCTAGTTTTTTATTGTTTCCCAATCTCTTGTCTGTTTAGGAGCGTACTTTCCTAGCATTCCCGCCCTTATGTGATCATATTCTCGTTGCTTTACTGACTAACATCTTGCCTATCATAGAATTGTCTCCTTTTACCCTCTGTCCTTTATATGTGATCCGGGGTTTCTGTTCACATTATCGAGCTCGACGAAGGCTTACGAGATGGGATTTTTCTAGTTTTTTTATTGTTTTTTCAA